AGGGACGAAGCTTTACACAACTGCGCGTGTATTGGTGAGCACTGGCGGCCTGTGACATACGCAGAGAAATGTTTCTACAGTGAGACCAAGATCTTGTGGCGCATGGCTGAATTCAGAACTAATTTTAGAAAGGTATAAGGTATCCGGGTCTTCTCAGTACAAGGTCTCTCGCTATAGTTTTGCGAAACGATGGCGTAGCTTCTTGACCTTCACAAGTGCTTGTAACAGCCTAGACTGAATAAATTATTTGTGATTTTGAATATGAATAAGCCTTTTATTTATCTAATTACTTTCTCCGGGATATTGTGAATTATAATACCTATACTATTCTACCTATATTCCCTTTAGTAAGGAGATTTCACATATTTTTTAATCTTCATTTCACCACTTATTCACCAGCAGCGTCCTCTTGTCAATGTCACATAAGTGCCAAAAGATCTTGTCGCACTGTATTGACAGCGACGGGCCGCCAGTGTTCACTCACACATGCGCAATGCATGAAGCTTAGCCTCTGTTGTCTGTACCTTCTTTACTCATGTGGTAAGGATGTGCCGCCGGGTCGGGCGTAATTACCGGCCGTGTCAGTCGCCGGGTGACACTGCTGTCATAATATTGGCGCATCCGGTCGTTGGTTGGTCGGCGAGAGGCACCGCCCTACGATCCGCCCAGCGTTACAGTGTAAGCACTTCGTTAGGTTATCTGTTACTTATTGTTCAAAGAGGATGCGTGGATCATAAAACATAGCGCACAAAAATAGGTACCTAATTTAATTTTTCCTGCTGTTTCTTTATTGATACACATTGCTTAGCAAAAATACATATTATTCTGTTCTATGTTTCCATCACGTGTTGTTTTTTAGGTACGGTAATCAATAGTATCGATTCTGGCATGATTTCTTAGCGTAAACTTAAATTTGACAACAGCGTATCCTTGTCATTCTCTATAAAAACGAGAAGGAGAGACTGATTTTAAATTTAGTTTCACGTTTGGAGAATCATGCCAGAATCGACATCAATGGCCTTCTGTATTTATTGTTGGTAACTAATAATGTGTAGGATAAATCTTGAAACTCACCGGCTTATGCAGTTGATTTCCTTGGCGAAATGTAATTTAACGTTTTTAGAAGTATTATGAAAATATAAAATTTTAGATACTTCGTTATTATCAGAACATCTCTCGAAGAGGCATCATTTTTCTCTGGCTGTTTCCGAAACATAATCAACTTACATGTTGTGTCCTTGTTCATAAAATGTGCCAAGTTATTCAACTGATTAAGCGGAGTTGCAAGATATACCATGAAAACTGGTACGTTTGTATATTTGTATGTATGTTTATTACTCAATTTTTAGATAGAAAGATTTTGGCACACATATAGTTTGTTACCTGGAATGGGACAGGATATTTTTTATGCCGGAATTATTTAAGGTTACTGAGGGAATCTGAAAAATGAAACTATATATCGGGTCAGAACTAATAGGTGAAATATTAACAAATTTGAGTAATGAAGCAAACTTTTTCTAATAAGAAAATGGCGCGCATTTTCAAATGGCGCCACGTGAGGGTGGTGAAAATTAGAACTTTCGTCTTAGTATTAAAGTCTAAGTTTTCCTTTTCATGTCATTTTGAACTTTCGAACAACGTATACAACCTCCGTAAATGCGTTTTTGAGCAAATGTGTTTAAAATAATTATTATTCTATTTTTAAGTATGTTATGGCGGCATCGTCTGTGAAAATTTCAACTTTAGCTATCACAGTTCATGAAATACAGCCCGGTGACAGACAGACAGACGGACAGCGGGGTCTTAGTAATAGGGTCCCATAAAAACTATTGAGGAATATAATTTATCACTTTTGATAAATGACTTTTGAAATATCTCCAAAACCGAGCTAATTTCCTGTTCATAAAAGTGATGCTTCTACAGTTGTTTCTTTTTTATTATAGAACTGTGTAGTTATGTATAAATTATAGTTCTCATATTTATTCATTATGTCGTTGATAATGCAAAGGTATGTATATGAAACATTACTTCAAAATGAATTATGCCGATCAGATTTAAACTCAATGAGGATTTCTTTACAAACAATATCAATTATGAGGAAAATAATAGCTACTTCCTTAGTCATTAGAAAATTGTGAGCTGATAATGTCATTATTTTATTAAGGTTTTTACCAACAATAAAAATCACCTAACGAAAGGAATTCAGGCCTCGCACAGACTTTTGTGCGTGAATGTGAGCCTGATAAAATCTGAAATAAACTTTGTATAATAATTATAATTATTTGGATAAACAAAGTAGTTCAAGGTTCAATCACGAAAATTATGTTACCATAAACAGCATGTAGAATTGGCCCAATAATAAATCGTTCTAAGTAAGGCACCTGCCCCACCGTCGTCGACGAACGAGAAGCCAGAAGAGCTAGAAACTATAAACGACTTGGAAAGAAGCTAGTAAGATATTTTATAGCTGGGCTATTATAAGCGAATGTGCGAGTATGACGGGCGATTACTTGCGATACTCGCTCGTGGAGACAATCGTGAGCAAAAATGCACAGGCGCGCATTTTGAAACAAGCGAGCATCGCTGAGCAAGTATTATAGTAGGGGAGTCTTAGTGTCGCCGCACACGAGCCATACGCTACAGCCACAAACGCCGCCACGAGAAGCTTGAAGCGGCTACTAAAGTGGCTGAAGCGCGCGACAGCGGCCGGCTAAGGTAAAGGAGAGAGGGATGGGGAATCGCGCAAGTGACGCGTGGCGGCGTTTTGTAGCGGCGCATTAAGTGACCGGTGCGGGCCACAAGAAGCGAGCAACGACGATTTGTAGCGTATGGCGGCCACCGGCGTATCGTGTGTGGCGAGTCCATATAAATGTATGAAAACTACAAGAAATATGCCGGTGGCGGCGTTTTGTGGTTGTGGTCGGTGGCCCGTGTGCGGCGACACTAAGCAGGGACTTTAGGATTTAATCGAACGCGGCAGAATAACATAATGGCGCGATTACACTAGATCATTATCCTGTATTCGAGTGCATGAAAGATATTACTCTTATTCTGGCACCCGAAGCAATATTGACACTGGAATACGGTGTCGGGTAAACAAAACAAAAACTACCCGAATACGGACGTAGGTCGCCTCCTTTCGTTTATACTAAGCCGTTTGTCCGAATTCGATTGTAAATGGGATTCGGGCTAGCGACCAAGTGTAGTTGTGTCATAAGTGTAAATGGACGGAGTCGAGTACGCCCGTATTCGGGTAGTTTTCGTTTTGGTTTCGCGACACCGTCTTCCAGCCCGTATTCCATTGTAAATACTGCTTCGGGAGCCCGAATTTGAGTAATGTCTTTCGTGCACCCGATATGGGCTAACGACCAAGTGTATAGAGCCATAAGTTAACCTTTCATCTAGTGAAGTACTCCCACATAACTGCACCTTTTGAGAGTCGAACGTCTAGGGCACCAATTAAAAAAATTCAACAATCAGATTTTCAAGCTAAGGGTTCGCGTTCCTTCGAACTTACACTATTTGTTTTAAGCTCGTACTTACATCAAGTGTGGTACAGTTGTTGTAACGTTGTAACCCATATTAAAAACAAATCATATGACGAAGCTCAGCGAAGATATAAACAAGCAACAGCCCAAGTTACACAGTCTTTTTATCTCTTTTCATAGAATTAGAAATGCCAGTTGAGTGGTAAGAACAAATCAACCAGCTCTTATTCGCCGTATATTTATGACGGGGTGTGTTTGTACCTGCTATTGCAGCGTTTCTGATTTCCATATTGAAACACTTTCTGCTTATGATCAGGGTAGGTATGTGATATTGTTGAATACTAAAAAAAAAAGGAAAACCGTAGCCGTTAAAAATAATAAATAGTTTAACAGCGATTACCGTAAGAAAAAATAATAAGGGCGCACGACATATCGTGACGGGGAGGGGCGTGCAAACCAGTGTCACCACTCGATAGGTACTTTAACGACTAAAACTTATCCAATGGCAATAAAGTTGAAATTGTATTGAGCAATTGGGGGTAAGTAGAAAGTACTTAGTTCTTGGAAACGCGCCGTGGCTAGGGTTACCATTCGTCTGGATTAGACCGAATTTGATCTAGATCTTTAAATTGTCCGGGTTTTTTAAAATACATTGAATGAATAATAAAAGTACATATTAATTTAAATACCATACCACAATATTAAATACCCTAGATACACCACGAGCGCTCAAAATGCGTCCCAATCAAGAAGTGCTTGAACTCCACTCAAACACTTGTTGGTTCTGTTGTTACTACGCGATCATCTTACGGAGCTCCGCGAATCGTCCAATGTACCTTTTGGACAGGTTTCGGCCACGATTTTGTTCGTGTTGGTGTATCTAGGGTATTTAATAGCGTTGCCATACCATTGCAACTAAGTGAATAATGGTACCATTTTGTGACTAAAAATTTCCGGTTTTCTTTTCGAAATGTCAGGACCTTTGAAATTTCTGAACGGTAACCCTAGCCGTGGCTAGATTCGCTAGACGGCTACAAATGTCGTTTATAATGTTTGCCCTACTTAATAGTCAGGTTTTGTTGGCGGCTACGCTATAAGTGTGATTCCTATCGCATCATACAAAGTGATTTCAGTTTTTGAGCGCAAGTGTTAAGCGCGTTCGGATATGATCGTTGAAGTTAAGCATTTTTGTGGGTAAAAGTTTAGTATCTCGAGCGCCACCGGGCTTCAAACGGTACGTTAAGCCGTTGGTCCCGGCTGGATTTGCAGTCTCACCCACCAATCCGCACTGTGCCCGCGTGATGGGTCACCCAATCTTTCTACACCATCCATAAGAGCTGTGCCAGCAGTGGTGACATTAATATACTGAAATGAAAATAAAGAAAAGTCAGATTTACAAGCATAAAAAATTTCGTTTTATTTTGCCCTTTTTTCAAAAGACTATGAAAAAAACCCGTTTTTTCTACTTTTTCTTAATGATGCTGTGTCTTCATCGTTCTGTTCCTACGTATTTCACTTAATTTTCTTCTTCTTTTTCATTAATGGTTCTTCGTCATTGCTTTTATCTAAAGCAAAATTATCTTCAACAACATCTTCAAGAGATTTCCTTCGCTTCTTCTTCTTCTTTTTAGGCTGATGCTCTTCAGCTGAATCATTGACGATATTGTTCAACTCGTCCAGTTCCTCATTTATGTTTAGCTCATTGTGTTTTTCTTTTTTCTTTTTAATTGTATTTGATTCACTCGGTAAAGAATTTTCCTCTTTATTATTTGGTTCATTAAATTTACTATCTTTCGAGATTTCTTCTATGTCGTGAGAGATTATTACTCCATCTGCAGTTTCAGACTTCTTGTGCTTCTTTTTCCTTTTAGTCGAAACTTCATTTGTGTTTCCATCATTAATTGTCTCCCCAGAGCTTTCATTAAATTTTTCTTTTTTATTTTCACAAAAATTTTTACCATCAACACTTTTTTCTAGTTCTTTTTGATCTCTGTCTAACACTGCTAAGAAGAATCCAATAGTGAAATCGGTGTCTGGTTTAGCATACATGCATCTCGTACCCATACTGCCGTACATACCCGACCCGATGTTATTCCATTGACCTTTCAATAATTCTTTAACATCTTGCACTCGCCATTTTGAGCGCGATGTTTTTACAACATTAGTAATCACTCTTTCGTTTTCTTCGGGGAACAGAGAGCAAGTGCTATATACTATTCGCTTGGCTTTCGGAAATGAATTCATAGCGTGCTTCAAGAACTTTTCTTGCAGTGATGTTAATTTTGCCAATCTCGTGTCCTCAATGTAGTTGTGCACACAAAGTTCCATGCCTATAAAATTATATAACATTTAGATGACAATGTTAAATTTTACTGCAATTATTGTTTTAGTTTTATACGAATCATTTAAGATATGTCAAAAACCACAGACCTTTAGGAAAATGCTTTCTATTTAGTGCCTACAAAAATATGTTGAATACAAACTATTGTTAGACTGTTTTTGTAACAAAGGGAACACTTTATTGTGAAACAAAGCGGCAAAGGAATTAATTAAGGAAGGATTGAAATATTGCGGCCTTTTAATTTATGCGATGGCTGCCAATGAACTCTATTCAGAACAAAAGGTTCTTTTTTGGCAACTTTTTGCCAAAACAGAATTTTAAGCAACTTTGACAAAAATCTAGTGTCGTAAGTGAATAAATCTGTATATTTACCCGAACCAGAACAGCTGGGATCGAGGAGAATGTATTCCACATCTTCGAATTCACCCCTTTTAATGTCCAAAGAGTCTCTATGAAGTGTTTCTACGCATTTGGAATCTGTTTTCTGTACAAAATCGCACAAAGTCTGGTAGCGTTTTTCGTTTCTTTCCACTGCATAAATCCGTCCCTGAAATAAAAAGGTAATGTCTTATCCACTATAAGCAAGGCTTTGGACCCACACCGGAAATGTGGACTCCACAGTGCACAAAGATTTCCAACTAAAATACATATAAAATAAAGACTTTATTTTTATATCTGAAAGAATCTTAAGTAGATAAAATCCATCTTGACCAAGAGGTCAGGCTGGATTCAAATCAGCGTATTTCGCTATCTGGGGGAAAACACTGACTGCTATGCTACCAAGACTCAATGATATTACATAATACAATACCGAGACCTTAATAGGGATGATGACAATTTTTTTTTTGCATCATCTGTCTTATATATTATAAAATTAAAAAGTATTGAAATATAACCTATTCTTTCAATATTCACATAATTAAAACATTACAGAAATATTTTAATTTGAAATGTCGCATGACGTCACGTCTTAATACGATTTTTATTTAGTAGCGACCTCATGAGAAATTCGGATCGAATTTCTTCTAGCAGACCTTAGCCTACAACTGCAAGGTAGTGCCATTTCTTCAGATTGCAGATGAATTGGAGGCAGCTGCTGGCAAATACAATGTCAAATGTGTCAGAATATTTAAGCAGTCGGGTTTCTTGATCTTTTTAATTTACCTTTTTTAAATAAATATAATTATGATTTTATTACTAATAAAATCCTCCAAATCCTTTTCAGGATTCGAAACGTAAATAAATAAATAAATCAGAACATCTATACCGTTGAAACCTGTTTTATTGAATGAGTGGTGTGCGTGAAAACCTAAGAAATAAATATGGTGCATAATATTAAATATATCTATTTTTTAGTATTAAAGAATTATTTATTGTTACATTCATCATTTAAAAAGTAATTTTGTTATTGCGATTGGTGCAAGGTTGATTTGAATTCATTTCAATTTAATTGAGATTCTTGTCTATTGTTCATGGTAAGCAACCAGTGGCGGCGCTAGGCGTCGGCGACGGCCTCGCACCTGAGGGGGCCTCGCAAAAAATTTTTACAAGTTACCTATTTATTTTCGTTTCTCCTGGCCTGGCTTAGGTAGCCGACCCCGAACAATTCGGGGAAAAGCTAAGCAGGTGATAATGACTTTTATTATTTTCGAACACGTGCGTGATGGAAGCAATTAGTACTTTACGGGTATTCAGAATCGTCAGTCTGGCAACACTATTTTTGTAATTAAATTTATATTTTTTAATTTTTTTTTGTCATCATTTGATTATCAACAATAAAACTCGTTTACTCATACGTTATTTTATAATTTGGCTGACTTAATTTAACGGTTTTTTACTGCGAAATAAAATAGGCCTCGCGAACTTGATGTCGCCGACGTCCACATGTGGTCTAGCGCCGCCACTGTAAGCAACTTATTAATTTTTATTGCATCAATTGCTATAACTTATTTGTTCCATACATAGCTATTGTTACTTCAATACAAATGACTAATAGAACATATCTTAACGTTTATTACCGAAAGTTCGGGGGCTACGAATCAAGACTGTCATTTTTTCGGAATTTAATGTTGAGTGACTATGTTCTTATAGCTTTAACTGATACTTGGCTTTTTGAAGGAATATTGTGACAGTGAGCTATTTGGCGCTATATGATATGGCGTCGTGATAGGGATTATGCTAGAACGGGACAGACTAGGGGGGTGGGGTAATGATAGCTGCTCGCCGCAGTTTTATGGTGACTAGTAGGTCACAGTGGCAATCTAGCGCGGAGGATCTGTGGATATCCGTCTCGTTTACTGGTTGTCCTAAAAATAACATTTTAAACATAAATGAAAATTACAGATACAAAATAAAGGTAATTCTCAGAATGTGCGATTGTACAATTTCATGAATGAACTTACAACAATCAGAAATGAAAATCCATTAGATAAATTCCTCATCATCGGCGACTTCAACATGAGTTCCATAAGATGGGAACCTTCCGCTGACGGCTTGTAGGCGACCCAACTGTTGGGTAAAGTTGCTATAGATTTTATTGAAACTTTGAATTTGTGTTGCTTTGATCAGTTTAATTATATCCATAATAATCACGGTAGAATAGTAATAATAGTATTTACAAAAATCTGCGAAATTCATCGTTGTATCCAACATGCATCATGTCCTATCAGGATCAGCAGTGTCAAAATGGTGCTATAATCAGTGAGCTTTTTGCTAGATATTTTAAGTCTACATTTTTGGACTCTGAAATCCTGGATCTAAACATAAACTATGGCTTTGGTCATCCCGAGCACAGTGTTGACGTCGTTAGTGACATTTGCTCCATTGAACTTGATACTAAAACAGTTCTTTAAATTTTTGGATGTGAATAAGTCTGCTGGACCGGATGGTATTCCTTCGATGTTCTTAATAAGAGGTGCTGACGAATTATGTTATCTAGTTTCAATTCAATTTTGTGGTGCTGCAAGGGTCCCTGGGCGGCAGTGACCACTTTCCATCAGGTGGACTGCCAGCTCCATTGGTTTCATAAATATAAAAAAATTACCTGATTTCTCATGTACGCAGCGAGTTGTGTGGTCTTCATTCCAGGTGCAGCACACATGTCGAGCACAACACTGCCAGCTGGTGGCGCCAACAGGTGTACCGCCATCGCAGTAGCCTGGATAACCAAACATTGCATTAAACACATACCTAATAAGTTTTTCGATTTCATAGACAACCCCTGCATCGTTTTTTTTATCCCTTTCCAGGTAGGACGAGCATCAAAAGCGCATCTTAAAAATAAAAAATGTATAAATGCAATGCCTTAAGTATAAAGTTTTTTTTTATAAATTGCCAGGTAGGCAAATGACTCTACCCCACCTGATGTTAAGTGGTGATAAAGTCCAAACGCGAAGATAGCTGGTACAGCAGTTATAAACTGCCACACCAACCATCCTCACCTTGCCGGCCTACAAAAATCACACCGCTCTTAAAAGACCCAAGATTGTAGGAAGGAGGGAACCCGTGCGCGGGCAAAGAATTCCACTTACGAATAAGGTAAGTGATACAAATAAGGCCTACCTAATTTCATACACTCTTATCATAATAAATTATTCGAAGAATGTGATAAAAAAAGCAAGGGGCATTATTCTTTGGTTCATAAATTTTAAGTAATTGAGAAAACATATTACAATCTATTATCAGAAATCACTAAAAAAGAGCTAATTCTGGAACCTTAGCCTTAGGCCTTTTAAAAACATAGTGACTTAACAAAGCCTATGGACTTAAAATATAGGAATATTGTTATTAGAATATAAATTATATTAAAATATGTATTTCTGAGCCATTATTCAAGTGTTCCCATGGGAACCTTGAACAACATTCTATAAGTTATTTTACTAAATATTTTGCTTAAATTGCTATTAAGATTTGAAGTCGCATATTAACAAGAAATAAAGAATAATATAAAAAAAACATATCCATACAAACAATATTCTAATATTTTATAAAAGTAGGCTTTATTTAATACATTATACTTCATAAAAGTTATCATTTTCAGCCTATTAATGTCTCCACTGCTGAAGCACAGGCCTTCCCTATGGATGGAATAGGGAGATAGGGCCATGACCCACCACGCGAGCCCAATGCGGATTGGCGGGTGCTATCGACTGCAGATGCAGCCGGGACCAACGGCTTAACGTGCCTTCCGAAGCACGGAGAAACTCGAGATAGAAGATTTTTGGTCACCCATCCAATGACCGACCACTGCGAAAGTTGCTTAAATTCAACGATCGCAGCCGAACGCGCTAACCACTTGCGCCATCGAGCTCCTCATTCATAAAAGTTATAAGTAGTAAAAAAGTTAAATTTTAAGTCATAGTCAACTTTTTGATTAGTTATATTGTGATCCGTATACATTACATGAAACAATACTTCAAAGAATAACGTATTAAAATTCGATAAAAATTACGATAAGTTAATAACGCGCTATGAAAACGCTCGTCCTTCACAAAGTACCGCCACTACTGACGCTATGAGCTCTAGCGGACCGCTCGTCCACAGTTTGCCGAGTTGTAGAACTGTCATCTATGCGTGTGTAAAGTATTTTTGATGTAAATATATTTTAATAGACTTTTCTACACTGCAGGCCTTATTTCAGCATAGGCCTTATTTGTATCAGGTACTACTACTTAGTACGACAAGTTAAGTTGTTGATAAAGTTGTTAGCCGTTGATGGGCTTTTACTACCTGCAATGAATGGTAAGTAGCTGGTGTATTTGAAAAATGATAACTATGACAAATCATCTATAAATCTAATACAGATTTCGGCTTATCACAGACTCCACACTTAACCCTATTGTAGAAGGATATTGGGATCTTTGACTTAAATTTTGGAGTCCCGCTAATGCGTGTCGGGACTGTGATCGAAATTGCGGCACCTGATATACCGGCCGCACAATTCCAATACTGGCTAATGTAACTCACCTTATCTTGTAGAATGATTTTATTCTCCAAGTAAAGTTCATGTTCATGGAGTTTGGTACCAGCAGAAAACACGAAGATAGTCTTAACATGATAGTCTTGCGTGAAATCGTATTCAGTAAGCTGCTGAATCTGCTTAAGGTAGTCATCATACGAGCCTGATGTACATCGGATAAAGCGGTACCCTTCGTCCTGGAACGCTCTGATGGCATCTGAAGTTGTCAGCAAGTTGGTGTTTACACGAACATATCTAGGTCTGCGAACAACTGCACAAATAGGCAACTGATCAATTCACTTGTTGGGTTATCATGAAACACATCTTAAAGGGTGAGGCCACAACATCGCCTTGCGGCATCGCATCATAAAAATCTACGACGTCGTACAACGCATCGCGAAATTATACAATGCGCTGCCGGCCTTTATGATGAAATTTTTTGCGTTGCGTCATTGTATCGTATTCCGATAAGACATCGTTTATGCGATGCGACGATCACAACGCAGTGTTGTTGCCTCGCTGTAACATCTACAGAATAACTGCGTCCATAATGAAAAAAATATCTAAAATAAAAAAAAGGTCAAGTGACAGTTGATCACGAATGGAAAAAATATCTAAAACAAAAAAAAGGTCAAGTGAGAGTTGATCCCCAATGGGCTAGGGCTCATAGGGTTCCGTACAAACTTGTACGTAAGCATGTAAATTATGTAGTTCATTACATTACTATAGTTTACCTATTGCAAATAAGTTAATAAGCGTAAAACACCTCTTTTGTTATGTTACTATATAACGATTTTCGAATTTATTCATTTACTTGTACTAGTCTACGTCGACGGTACCCGATCTTAGTTGGAGAGCCCAAGCGGGGATTTTGGGAATTACTCGAGCGCAGCAGAATAGCATAAGGGACTGGAGAGTTCACGTATCATTCCTTCTCAATATCTGACACCGCGTCAGATAAATTTTTCTTTTTCCTATTTTCTGCCCCTTCGTACAGTCATCAGTGCATGGTCTAGTAATGCAAACCAGCAGATTATTATTTTACCGTCATCAGAAACTCTCCTCATCAGAAGCTCCTATTCAAAAGATTGATGATTTGGACGCGACGAAAAGTCAAGAGCGATTGTTGATTTTTTTTGCTGCTCGAAACGTTTTCGCCCTATAATACCTCTATGATACGTGTACGTGTGTGAGCCTGGAATGGTGGGCGTACTTCACAAGGAGCAAGGTTGCCTCCCATAAATTATTCTGCCGCGCTCGAGTAAATCACAAAATCCCCGCTTGGGCACCCCTACTATAAATTTTGATTCCCCTGCGATCGCCAATTTTGGCGTATATTTTTACGGCAAAGCCATTATTCTGAGGCATACAGGAAGCATAAAACATAAAATTTTTAATTGTGTTGACTAGACGATTTATTTTTTCACAGCCCTAAGAATTTGCAGTTCCTGAGAAAAGGGTCTTGCAGATGAGACATGGACGGACAGATAACAAAGTGGTACTATAATAATCTTTTTTTATGGATGTACGACGCTATAAAGCTCGCGTCGCATGAAGAGGGTTCCATACGTTATCTTAGTTCTATTTTTTAGTCTGACTGAAATTTATTAACAACATTATAGCTTTCAAGAGAAATACATACTTATTTTGTGTGTTAATGACATAAATGCCGTGAGTACATTATTTACACTACCTGTCTGTCTTTGGATATCTAACATTCTGCATTGAGTTTTTATAGCAGAAGTAACTGATTATTGTCGGTAAGTTTACTTGCAAACAGCCATTATTAAAAAATGATGGGGTGGCTTCATATGCTCTAACTTTTTATTAAAAAATATTTATATTAAAAATTTAACTAAGAGCTGTTAGAAAATAAACAACTACTATTTATGCATTTTTTTAACTGTTTTGCATCAAGATATAACCGACATTGTTTTTTTATGGTATAGAATTGTATTCATTTAATTTTAATGTCATACATATTACTGCTTGTTGTTAGTAACTCATGCTCATAATAAATGTTTCAACTACTTAAAAAGAGTAATTTAAACTAACCGCATTTACTATCTTTCGTATCAACCAATAATGCTGTTGGTAAAAGTCTATTAGAAGTAGCCATCACTTAAACGATTAAGAAGCTGTTATTTAAAGAATTATTAAAATTGGTATCAAAAATTGTGTTTCTGTATTTTCTAAAGTAGTGATAGAATGATTCTTTTTCAAAAGTATACTTTTATTTCTTTCATTTATTTTATGGAAAAGATGTTCCATTATTGTCATTACAGTATTGTAATTATGAATTACGAGATACTATATAACAGGATAACTTTCACAATTTCCTCATTTATGATGTTAGTTTTTGTAATATTTATAAAAAATACTTCCTCTTTCACTTCTACATTTAAACAAAAGTTAACATAGATCAATGAAACAAGTTTTTGAAATATTATTCTTTATTATTTCTTGTTATGAACACAATGTCCTTTCACGCAGCAAACACAAACCTGATATTTATATTATTTAAAGATTGGAATGTACATACAAATATAACCTTCAATCTTGTTTCAAATTTAATCCACTTTTTTCTTTTTCTGCTGTTTGTTGTACAGGCAAAGGTTCATAGGAATGTTGGTCTATTTCATTCCCTTGGTCATCATATTCTTTTTCATGATAAGCTTTATATGCATAAACACATATTATAATATTGACAACTACTACAGCTGCAATAACTGACCATGCAGTCACTGCAAAACTACTGACAGGATAGTACTCAGAGAGCATATGTCTCACTCCGAAAAATGCCACAAAAGGCAGCGTAAACATAGCAACACTATAAAGAAATAGGTTTGCTAGGACTAATGCTGCTCGTCTTGTGTGTTCAGGGATCAGAGGGCCCTCATTGGATTCAGCCATTTTGTGTGAAATAATAGTACGTTGATTTTAGATCTGTAAAAAAAAGTATTATGTTACCTTCAGTCTTCAAAGTATCCTCATTTTCAATAGTGTACTTCTCAAATTGATCTTTGTAAGACAATATTGTTTGTTCAGGTTTGCTTTTGCCAGGCAAGGCTTTTTTGCCAAAAAGTAATTCGGCAGTCAATATTTTTGCTAACCACGGATCTAATCTAGACTCTTTTTCTAATATACCACAGTTTCCAAATATTTTATCAATATCACTGGCATGTTTTATAGTTTCTGTTATCAGTGCATAAAGCACGTTGGTTCTCTGCAAATTTTAAATACCAATAATGTTGTATTCAGAGAATAACTAGAATTTTATTCATACAAGAAGTCTGAATTTTTAACTCACAAAGTGTCGAAGTTTGTTGTCGTACAGTAACGTCTTTACACTACCACCTTCTGTAGAAACTGTTTTGAAAATATTTGCTGCGACTTTGTAATGTCTTGGAACTTTGATAGAGTGTTCAAACATTTTAGTTTTACCAATCTACAAAAAACATTGCTAACTAATCGAAAGAAACTTTATATCACGAGACTGATGTCAAAATTTGATAATTTGAAGGTTATTGTCAATATTGCCATTCATATAGACACACTTTGCTATAAATAATTAAATATTCCAAACAACCAAACAAATCCGTCTCGTAGGGGAGAGAATCTATACTAATATTGGCCCTTCCACAATAATTGGCACTATGGCATTTATGCTAAAATATAAAGAAATAAAAAAAACACTGAACACGATATCTATTTATTATTCTTTGATGGCAATTCTTCAACCTTCGTAGTGGTCAATTAAATAATTGGACGTAGTTACGCGAAAACGTTCCAACCCACAGCGACCCCATTTTGAGATAAACGCAATTTTGTGTTTTAGCGGTACACTTTTTCCCTGTAATTATTTCAGGCAAATACTATTGGTGTTACTGTGGAATGCCAAACTGGTTATTGAATGATATGCATATTTTTTGTAAATACATAATACAAGGGGCATATAAATAGGTAAAACGAGTTTGAAACGTTTTCGCTAAATTTAATTTTGTATGAACCTTGTTAAATAGCAATTGTGCATAAACGTTCCAGAACGAATTTAAGTGTATTATTTTATAAATATATCTAAAATAAATATGTAAAATAATAAATAACAATGAAGAACATACAAAAACAACAAAAAAAAATTGAAAATGTATTACAAAAAAAATAGAACGTGATCTTTTGAGCTTAGAACCTATGCCAATTTGCTGATATGGTTCCAAAAGTTATCAAAAACTTATATTATAAACATTCAATTTTCATCATCGTATTCTATGATCTCGAAGTCCGGAACTCCACCAAACCCATCAACATCATCAGTGCTTCTTCAGAACTTTGAAGCGTTCTATAAAATTGAAGGCAATCCACTTCCTGTGCACCTCTTCTACCTCTCCTTCTACCAATACATAACAATGCCCAGTATCATTAAATGCACTATGGATACCACTATTGTAGAACTAAGTAAAAAAGTTAAACCTCTTCAAGTTTACAAAATGACAAAGACTGATTTTTTTAGTACAACTAAACTGGAAAAGAAGATTATCAATAGGAAGAAGTTTACAGACTCATCTAAAGTTAGTTGGCTACATACAAAAGAAATTAAGTTGGATAAAGATAAAATGTTTTCTATTTTTATGCGGTCTACGATGGAAGACGATTTCAATGAGTTGAAAATTGATAAAAGAATAAAACGAGAACTGCAATACATAAAAGAATCTGATTTTTGCTTATTGTGGCCTAACGACAAACCGATTGCTCCAGCGAAATTAGTGGACTTACAATCCATGTACCACTACATACCCGAGGATTGCCTTCAATTTTATAGAACGCTTCAAAGTTCTGAAGAAGCACTGATGATGTTGATGGGTTTGGTGGAGTTCCGGACTTCGAGATCATAGAATACGATGATGAAAATTGAATGTTTATAATATAAGTTTTTGATAACTTTTGGAACCATATCAACAAATTTTTGGCATAGGTTCTAAGCTCAAAAGATCACGTTCTATTTTTTTGTAATACATTTTCAAATATATTTTTTTGTTGTTTTTGTATGTTCCTCATTGTTATTTATTATTTTACATATTTCTTTTTGGTTTATTTTTATAAAATAATACACTTAAATTCGTTTTGGAAAGTTTATGCATAATTGCTATTTAACAAGGTTCATACAAAATTAATTTAGCAAAAACATTTCAAACTCGTTTTACCTATTTATATGCCCCTTGTATTATGTATTTACAAAAAATATGCATATCATTCAATAATCAGTTTGGCATTCCATAGTTAAACCAATAGTATTTGCCTGAAATAATTACAGGGAAAAAGTGTGTAAATTGCAAATTGGGGTTGCTGTGGGTTGGAACATTTTCGCGTTACTACGTCCAAATATACCATAGTTATTTATTTTGGTAAAAAATATCTTTTTCTCTAGAACATATTTAATAGCAAAAATGGATCAAGTATATGTGGATTGTTTATAGCAAAAAATATGAAAATAATATATTATAATAAAAGGTTTCAATTTATTTAGAACAGTGTTCGCAGCTTAAAAAAACAGTATGGATTAATCTAAAGGGTTTCAAATTACATGGAACATTTTTGCAGAAATAAAAAATGTATAAAGATTTTGCAAAAACGTTCCAACCCACATGGATCATTTAAGAAACCATTAAATGTGCGTTTTATGAATTTAGTATAATGTTCCAAGACAAGTGGAACATTATAACGATATGTTATTCTATTAAGAGTTTTTAACAATATGTTTCAGTATGCATGTAATGTTTTTACTTTATTTTGAGTACACGTCCTTGGCATAATGGTGGGTTGGAACATTTGGGTTAAACTTTATTGATGAAACTAACTTAAAAATACTAGCATCTTTGTGTGCACATGATGTAATATGGCAAAAATAGTACCCTGGTTATGGTAACTCATTTTCGAGTGACTTGTGGGTTGGAACGTTTTCGCGTAACTACGTCCAATTGACCACTACAAAGGGCATTTTACTTTTTGAAAAATCAAAGTTTGATTGCTGACCATTCGCAGGGGCTACGAAGAGGCAGCTATTTGATGAGTGATAGGTGTTTTTGCAGCAAAATAACCAGGCACAATATTCTTTTATTATTTTCCGGGAAAAACAGAATTCTTTTACTAAAACTTCACTGTAGGGCTGTCTGTCTGTCACCAGGTAATATCATTCTTAGGAACCATGCTATCTAGGGTGTTATAATTATTTATATAATTTGACAAGTTTTTGAAAATATTCATACGTTATTTATTAGTGTATAATAACTCCTTAAGCAGTGAATATTTATATTAAAAAAACAAAAATAGAATACTTGTTTTAAATATTCCGCAGAAATTTCTCTAGCAAATATTTCGTCTTACAGGCAGGTGCCGCCACACGGTTCTCATTAAAACTTTAAATTGTACAAAGTAATGTCACTTCTACATCATGTTTACAAGCAAGTGACGTTATAAATAAATAAATCTTAGGCATTTTCAGCTACATTACTTACTTAAATACTTTTCTATTTCATGATTTGTAATAATATTATCAACTACATACTTAGTTTGTTAGTATAGTGCAATCGCTCCCGAAATTCATATTAAATACACATGCCAAAATTGGATACTTTATTTTTCATACTGTCAAATAGCCTTTTTTCACAAATAATGTAAATTACTACTTTTTTGTGTAAATTACTAAACTACTGTACCAGCGAGCCACATCCGGTGTCAAAAATCCATGTAATACCTATCAGATGATATTGCATGCGGCGGACTAATAAGCGACCCTTGATTATTTATCTCCTCTAGATAGTGGCAGTGCAGATGACGTTGAAAAAAGTATCTCCCACCAGTGGGGTCTAAGTCGTTTCCCGTCATTTAATGTTCAATGCAACGCTGACAGATACGCACGACAACTAACAAGTTTCGTGTTAAAATTATTTTTGAAACATGCCGATTTGCGCGATAAAAGTTTGCCGAAATTATGAAAAACGCATGAAACATGAAAAAACGCAAATGATTTTATATTCGCAGAAATATTATCAGAAATCGCCGCCTTTTTAAATATAATAGCAACACCAGCCATAGAGAACGGTGTACTTTTTTTAAATTCTTCATTTTGCAAGCTATTGGAAGTTGATACAATCTCATCTTTAAAATGCCGGCACACCATCATGGCTATTCGTATTTGCTATCAAACTTGAAAACTTACTAAGGAGAACCTGATGTTCAAATTACAAATAGTAAATAAGAATAAAGTGCAACCAAGATCTTGTGGCACTTTTATGACATTGACAGGTGGGCGCTCCTGGTGAAGAAATGGTAAAATGATCAATAAGTTCTTGTCACTAATGGTAATTTTATAATTTAATTTATATTAAATGGGAGAGCAAAAGGAAATCTAAAAGGCTTTTGACGACCTCCTTGGCTATATCGTATGTAAGCCAGGTTTCATGGCGTCTACTCAGAGATCCCGGGCCCGGGATCCGGTGGGGGCAAATGTGTAGTATGATGAATACGAGCACGATTAGTATCTAAGTTATGGATATTTATAAATATTTCTAGATAAAATACATATACTAACAATCTGCCAATGAAGTCAGGAAAAAAAAGAAGTTCACCATCGTCGCTTACATGGTATCCTCGTTATACATCGACTAAAACGCTTTGATATTATTTTGTTAAAAAGTGATACTGGTATCGATTCTGGCAGGATTCTCTAAACTTAAAACTAAATTTAAAATCAGTCTGTCCTTGTCATTCTGTATAGAGAATGACAAAGATACACTGTTGTCAAATTTAAGTTAAGCTTCAGAGAATCATGCCAGAATCGACATCACTGTATAATTATATAATTTCCATACATATAATTACGAGATGAGAAAATTATTTATATTTTTCATATTTTTCGTTTTATCATATTTAGTAAAGGTTTTTAATTTACACATCTAATGGTGTAGATTCTGGTTTTAACATTCTTTATTCTTTAAAAGGAATGAAAAAGATGCGCAATAACACAAGCCTTACAGTGCCATTTTTAGGACTAGACTAATCGGTGTGAGTGTGGGAAAATATATTTATTTATTATATTTATTTATTTACACCTTCGTAAAATTAGTTCCAATTTTGGCCACGCACCACAAGAATTCACAAGATCTTAGTTTCACTCTAGACGTTATGAAGTGCCGGCATAATAATTACATGTTTGTCGTTTTGTGTCGCGTCAGAGATGTAACGGTTTTTTACAAATAGTGCGGCTACAGTTACGGTTAGATAGTACGGTGCCGACACAACGCGACACACAAATATATTTCTAACCGTACTTAATAAAACTGTATGAAACCGAACCGATACCTCTCTGAATCTGAAAACAGACAAATATATTTCCGCCTTCGTACTATTAAAAAAAACTGAGATGAATGAAGAAAATATCATAGACAATTAACTTGATCCCTAGTTGTTGCACGTAATCTGTATTTACAATTTCATAAACATATTTAAGTGAGTGTGATAATAATTTTTCATTTAGTGAATGTAGCTCAGAATTATGTAAAAAGTTAACTTCAAGGTACTGAAGTACACAGATCAGTGTTTTTCAGCAATATATGTGTAACATTGACAGTTCTCGAATGGCGATTTGATTTTCGTAAATACCAGGAAATGCTATGATTCAACACCCCGGTGGTCTCAATATCTCTGACTAATCCTCACTGGATAATGTTTTCAGTTGGCGACAGTGACCCGGTCGCTGTTGTTGGAACTTATCACTGAAAGGTCAATGAAAGATGTTGTGGGGGTAATTTGGGAATTTTGACGGGATTTATCAAAACAATGGTTCCTGCACCGAGTTGTCCCGATACGTGGGACTACTGGACGTCCTCTCCGTCCGATTTTGTAGAGTTGACTTGTCTTCTACCGAATTCTATTTACATTCCTTTGAAAGTGAGCTGGGATGCCACCCTTCACGATGTCAAGGAGGTTAGTAGCCAAAATAGGTAATCAGACATAAAGCTTATCAACTTATTGCTTAAAGTTTAATGTTGATGAAAAGCATTTCAAATGTTTACACACTATACTAATGTCTGATATGCTAAGCATTGTTGTGATAATGGTTTCATAACACCAGTAGAAAAACATGATAAATCATTTACTCATGAACATGTAATAATTTATTGCAAAATTCATTAATGTAATAATGAAAGCTAAACATTGTTTATGTCACACAGTTGACAATGTGTTTTCTTTTGTATAACTTAATTTCAATAAGTGTTTCTGTGTGAGCTAAATCAAAATTGGTGAATTTTTCAAATGCATGACTATTCCACAGGAACTATGGGATAGAGCAGGGACTTATCCCTTATTTGGGATGCTTCATGAAATGTCTGGTTATGTTTTCCAATTTGTCAATTCCCTTGCCGCACCAGAGGAAGTGGATGATGAGAACAAAAGACTCCGAGACATCAAACCTGTATGTGGTGTGCTTATGATAATCGAAAGATCTGTAAAAAGGCCCGGAGAACAATTGTTGAATATACAAATTAGTAATTTGATAGGAAAAGGTCAGTAAACAGTAACAGAATGGATGATTATTTGATGGAGATTATTAGAAAAATTGTGAAAGAAAAGCATTACTTATATGTTGCAAAATGTAAAATCTTGTGTATGCTTTATCAACTGTTCACTTCCTTAAAACAATTTATAAAGAATTCATTTTATTCAGTTGCTCTATATAATAATATTCAAAACTTGATTGTTTTTACACAATAACCTTTATTTCAATGTACCTAGTCGTTTGTTTAAAAGTACATGACGATTTACAATTCTGATGTTTGCAGGTTTAAATGAATTTGATAGCCTAAGGAGTTCTGAGGTAAATGACTTTCGGAAACAAATGCGATGCTTAGCCGAGGAGAGTTTAATACGGAGATTACAGAGTACCTGGCAGGAAAGGCTCAGATACCAGTGCCCTCCAAGGTTGGCTGACCAACCAGTACCTGCAACTCTCAAGAGCCATCTTCACAAGAACTGCTTCATACTAGTCACAAAGTTTGCCAATTCAGAGGTACATGTTTTTAAAAATTCTTTTTTTATGAAACTTAATAAGAAATATATATTACTGTGTAGTAATCAATTGATAAATTAAATATATATAACCAATTTCCTTATTATACCATTTTATTTGATGGTCGATTTTGATAGGCTTAAACAGGTTCCACAAATGTTCCCTTTTCATCAAGAAATGGCATTTCATTAATAATTTTAATAGCTTTGATGAGTTAGGCTTATTAAATGGTGGTTATTAATTGGTGGGACATTCAATTATTACCATGTTTATGATGACTATCATAAGTGAGGCAATAATTAACATTTTAAAGCATCTAAGCTTTTTTTTATCAAATATATGCTTAGAAATTTGCAAACCCTAAGCAAATTCTTGGTTAAGTTTTTGTTAGAATATCCTGTTATTAGAGATGTAAAATTGTAATTCCTGCGGAAATTTTAACACTATGACCAAAAAGTTCTATTATTACTTAATTTTTGTCACCTATTTTAGTTTGATAGTTTCTAATATCCCTTCCATCCACTTAAATCCACTGCAAGGATCCATTTTAAAAATTGAGAGATTTACAAGTATATTTATATGTCCTACTAGCCCAATTTACATTATTTCATGTTTTTTATCACATCTAATTGTCAAACTCCTATAGTAATTTGACAATTGGGTGTGATAAAAAAGAGCGATATGTCATATCGCAGTGCTCATGCTAGGGGGCAGATAGATGTTTTAATTGTGTAATAAGTGTTTCATACTCCTGATGAAATATAAATAAATAAATAATTTACAGAGTGAATGCAAATAGTAAATTTATTTATTTCTTTATAAATGTAAAGCTAATGTGCAAGCAAAATAATTCAGTCTTCGACTATTGACTGTTCTTCATGTTCATCTTCGATTTCGTCATCATCTTTTTCCCCTTCTTCAATCCATTGTGTAATTAAATCTTTGGCTTCAGTTCTGAAATTTTTTATGTAATGAAATGATGATGATCTCTGACCACTTAACAAATGTGTTACAAAGTAAGGTCTTCATTTAATCATAATTGTTTTTGTTGTGACATAAGTACCAGACTTTCTATAATGTTAAATTTTTATTATATACACCAAGATACTGTATTAAATGAAGTACATGGAAGTGGCAAAAATTATCTACTACTTAAGGTAGATATGCATGTCACTACAACACACTCATTGAATGCTTTAGTGCAATCTGACATTAGAAGACTCATGCACACATTGCATGAAAAATGTTAGTTGTTTTCTTTGCATGATTTATTTGTATTGTTCTATTTTATCTGCTTGCGACTTGTTATATATATTACATTTACTATCATGAAGGCTAAGTTGACAGCTGGAGCATTCTATGTTTCTCTTAGTACAAGACCTCTATCTTATATTTAAAATTCTCATGTCACAATGTTAATTACCATACTCCTCCGAAACAGCTTGACCGATTTTATGAAACTTGATATGCATATTCACTAGATCTGAGAATCGGCTACTATCTATTTTTCATACTTCTATGTGATAAGGGTTGGCCACCCCTAACATTTTTTTAGATTTTGGTTTATTTTTATTATAATGTGGCATTAAAAATACATACAGCTCTAAATTTTCACCCTTCTACCACCCATATTTTTATGGCGATACGAAATTCGCTGGGTCAGCTAGTGTTAATATAAAAATTGGATATGGTTCAGGAAACTTAAATGCAAATTTTTCATGTACCATCATGTACATCAAGTGAAACTTACTTGTGATTTTTTCAAAGATTGAGATCATTGCAAAGCGAATTTTCTTGTTGAAAATTGCAGATGCACCAAATTATTTGGATGCAAAATCTTAATCACTAATTAAAGACAAATTAATAATGCATATTTTTGAAATAATTGACTAAACTGTAATCTTTTGTTAAAGTGAAAAGTTATACAATTTATTTAATTGCCAGCTCCAAACTTCATCAATATTTTGGATCGTCCCTATTATTACTTAATAATTATGTATTATTATTAAATAATGTCAATTAACATGCTTTGAGATCTATTAAAACTTACTTCTTCAGTGGTGAAACTCCCTTATTGATTCTCTTGAGGTGTGGTAGTGTTGCCAGTATTTGTACTCTTATTTCTGCATTCTCTTATTAGGCAACTTATGGGTTCTCCTCGCCTGTCCCTCACATGTTCTATTAAAACTTACCTTTCTTCTGGGGTGACAACTCCCTTATTGATTCTCTTGAGGCGTGGTAGTGTTGCCAGTATTTCCAATCTTAGTTCTGCATCCTCCTCTTCTTGGGCCACTTCTGGGTTCTCCTCGCCTGCCCCTCCCATGTAGGGGCAACCTTTCATCACCAAAGTCTCTAAAGATTTTAACACCTGTAAACACCAAAATGTTAAGAAAAAAGCCTCTGTTATTTTTATAGGTACCACAATGAAATAGTTTATAAAATTTTTACCTTGAGCTTTTTAACTTGTCGCAATGTTAATACTTTACAATTCCTCAAGTTAACATATTGCAATTTGGTTAGACACTCATGGAATCCATCCAAGGATTTTATAGGATTATTTCGCATATGCAGAATCCTCAAGTTCACGAGTCTCTCTAATCCTTGAAGACTAGTTATTTTATTTCCTGCTAAATACAAACTGTCTAAATTGGAAAAGTTAAAGTCCGCAATATCCTCAATGAAGTTATAGCGGAAATCTAACACTTTAATATGCGGCATTTTGTTGGTGAATGTGACTCTATTTATCTTGTTGTATCCCACTTCTAGGGTACATAGTTCTGGCTGGTATACATCGTTCACGGAAGTGATAAGGTTGTGGTTCATGATAAGAACTTGAAGGTACTTCATTCTCTTTAAAGCTGCGGAGTGCAATACGTTCTTGTCTGCGTGCACGAGAACTAAAAATGGTAGATCCGCAAGAACTTGTAAGGCCTCCGATTCGAGATTATTATTTGATACGTCAACATACTGCAGGTGTTTGTAGCTTGTCAATAACGACAAATCAGTTAACTTGAGACCGTTTAATGTCACCTTTAAGTAGGTATACCTAAAACAAAACGGGTTCAATTTAACAATGGTGGTACCGTCTTCACATATTTTATCCTACAGTTCTTAGATTTATGAAGTACTGGCTTCCCTCTGCGACTTCATTAGCGTTATAATTAGTAATTGAGAATCTCACAGGAACCTAACATTTTCCGGGATAAAAAGCATTATTTGTGTCAATCTAGGTAATTATATAGTAGGAAGGATGAGAGGAAGTAGGATAGTATGACTAACCCATCGCCTTCGGCAGTCTTCCCGAGTAAGCCAAGTCCTGCAATAATGTCGTGTCTCCTTACTGGTCGACTTGGATACACAATCTTCTCTTCCTCGACGACCGCCTCGTCTCTGGACTCGCTAATTTCACCGCCTTCCTCCCCATATTCTCCATGCGTTAGTTCCTCGGTCGATTCTACTAAGTTCAAACGCGATCTTAACATTTTATTTTCATTAAAATTATTGTTTTATTTTTAGTGACTTGTGACTTTTATGTCATCGCCATCAATGACAGTGAGCAATGAATTCTATGTCATCACACGGTTGTCTTGTCGTTGTCATAAAGACGTATTGAATTCTTAAATTAAAACAAAAAGGGAAAATACGGCACTCGCGGCTCAAAAGTGAACCGCTTAAATTGTGGTGCATGGCCACAATTCACACATCCAAAGTTCCAAACACGATGCATATGTGCAGTCAATGTAACAATATTGCGTATATTCTGTGTTCTAAGATGAAATAATGCCTTCGATGCTTTTATAAAAAAAACAAATAGTTCGGGATTAAATAAAAAAATGCCACGGCAACACTTTTCATTTAAAAAACTATGAAAATATCATTTTTCTCAAAAATCACATGTTTGTCATGAATGTTATATAGTTATTCGACATTATTATCAAGAAAAAGACAATAGTACAGCTCCGCCGTTTATAAGAGAGAACAAAGAAGGCGCGGACTCGCCGTTTCCCTCGCGCTGCGTTGAAGCGTACAGTTCTGTCTCGCTCGCTCAATTGAATGTTTATTTAGATAGATAGATAATTATAGATAGACTTTATTGTGTACACCACATTAAATATTACACACTAGGAAAATACTTAAAAAAGAGAACAATTGGCGGTCTTATCGCTATATAGCAATTTCTTCCAGACAACCATATTATGGAGAGACAAAATTTAATAAAAGAGGGGGTGTGCTTATATAAAAAAATAAATTACAATAAAAGATCCACGGTTAAACTTACTCATAAATACCTCCTATATATTAAAATATTAATTGAATGAGTACAGACATACACATACATACATACATACAGTTGGAACAACACAAAAACTTTTGTGAAAGGAAAAATCCTTTATCTGCTTCTTAAATATACCAATCGTCTCGGCACGTCTGATGTTAACGGGGAGAGAGTTCCAGAGGCGCACAGCTTGAACACAAAAATAATATTTATAAAAGGTATTACGTGATAGAGTTTTAAGGCTCAAATTCTCAGATGAGCGTAACGACTGAGAGTGGGAACAGTGGAGAAAACTGAAAAGTTCTTTAAGATAATTGGGATAAGAGGTATTAAACAAAACATTGTAAAGAAGGGAAAGTATATGAGTCTCCCGGTGACTACGAATTGGAAGCCACTTGAGTTGAGAACGGTACTGGGAAATATGATCAATTTTTCTTAAACCAAATATGAACCTGATGCAGAAGTTTTGAAGACGCTCAAGTTTATTTAGCTTGTCCTCCGTAAGATCTAGATAGCATTTACAGAAGTATGCGTCTGTGAGAGTTGTTTATGTAGTTGAATCGGAGCATATTTTATTTGATGCTAGTATGAGCGTACCGTATCTTCCCTTTTTGTTTTAATCTAAGGTTTAATCTTGTTTATTTATTTTTCATATTTTTATCTTACTAAAAGGTTTATTAAAAGATTCACGCTCACGTGTAGAGCTCCCAAATCTCATGAATGTTAATATGACGGAATTGAGTTCATACCATAAATGATCATTTTCAACATTAATGGTAGCAAAGAATGTCGAATATGAGGAAAAAAAAAACAAAGAGAAGTATTGCTGCTATGCCATATCGTCACATTTTTATTTGACCAGTTATTCTGTATTTCAGTTCTCGTCATCGCTGTGCGTGCCAATCACTCGCACGCCGCATGAGCACATCGAGATAATTCTCCGCAAGCAGGCGACGTCGTTGAACATGCGCATTGAGCACGCCTCCAACTATGTGCTCAAGGTCTGCGGCCGCGAGGAGTATCTGTTCGGCGACAATCCCCTCATACAGTTCCAGTACATACAGGAGATGCTATCGCGCGACCTAGTGCCCCAAGTCATGACCATCAGCATAGACAAACTCCAGTTTTTGTGTAAGTCCCTCATCTGCATTGTCAATATTATCATTATTAGCCTAGTGAAGTCTCTACTGCTGGAGCACAAGCCTTCCCTGTGGATGGAATAGGGAAATTGGGCTATGACCCACCACGCGGGCCCAGCGCATATTGGTGGGTACTCACGACTGCACATGCAGCCGGGTACAACGGCTTAACATGCCTACTGAAGCACGGAGGAGCTCGAGATAGTAAATTTTTGGTCACCTGTCCAATGACCGACCACTGCTAAAATTGCTTAACCTCACCGTTTCCAGCTCAAAACCTAACCACTTGCGCTATCAAGCTCCTCCATTTGTATTGTAATACCGACTATTCAACATGTCGATACGAACACGTAGGAGTATACTCGCCTCGGCGGTGCCTATAAATGCACACTGTGTGACAAACAGCCAGAAGTTAACGAACTACATACCACTTCTCATCTTGGGTTGGTCGCTAAAACTGCACAATTACTTTAATTTCTAGTGTTATTGATACACTACTACTATATTTGGTGCGGTAACTGCTGCCTAAATTCTAGGATATTACATGCTAGAGTTTGTTTCACAGCTGATTCGCAACGCTACCGAATACCAGAGAGGGACAGACTTATGTCGGAGCACACGAATACTATGCGTAGGCGCATGAATGAATCTTCATGGAATATAGAGAGCAATTACACGTGTACGGTGCACTGCGTGGGCGGACTCAACGTGGACCCAGGCAGGGTTGTCGAGGTGTGTTCAGAAATATAATATCAATGTACCCAATGAAATGCCATAATATATACTCATCAAAAAAGTTTAAAGAACGTGTTGTACGGTTTTGAACTTTTGAAGGATTTCACTATTGTAATAATAAATACTATACTATTACAAACACAATCGAAAAATTAAAATTTTTAAAATTAGACAATTGTATTTTCGAGAATAAAAATTATTGCATACCAATCTATTTTGCTATAAAAAATAACATCAATAATAAATTATACGGTTTTTGTAAGTTATGCGTATTGATTAGTTTTTTTGATGTGTGAATATTCCTGTCTCAAATAGAGCTCCAATTGTGCCTAAAAGGTTGCCAAAATGTCCCTTACAAATAGAAATTTACAAATTTAGAAATTTTTGATTTTATTTATTTTATTTATTTATTTATTTAATAGGCGTACTGACAGCTAAACATATAAAAACATTAAAAAAATTAAAATAATACTTATTCTAAGACATATATGCAAGCCTTTACAAGCACACACAACATTCAATTCAGAAAAGTACAATGTAATTAATAATCAATAATAATATATGTAATTAATAATCAATAAATCAATAATGATTTTGCATAATGATAAGTATTGCTGATGATGATTTATTGGATCGCCTCCGTGGAATAGGATCCTGGGCTCAAGTCCCGGTAGAGACAAATGTTTGACGATGAAAACGAGCATTTTTATATTTTATTCGTAATTCGTTAGACGGTACAGTGGCAAATATTTCCAACACACACCAGTTAGCCTAGCACCAAAGTAAGCGCTGTAAGGCTTGTTTAATGGGATACTAGGGTAACGGATAGAATACATATACTGATACATATATAAGTATATTTATATAGAAATACATATTAAACATCCATGACTGGAGTACAAATGCTCGTATTCATCACACAAACATCTGCCCCCACCTTTGGATCCGAAGCTTCCTCTCCTATCGAGTCAGCGACACCATGAAACCCGGCGTATAAACCACTCCGCCACGGAGGTCGTCAAAACTACTAGTAGTATACTTTTGTACGTACGTACTTATGTATATGTAAATACTTGTTGGTTGTTCTGGTTTCTCTTTCCCGTAAAGAATTTTACATTTTATTACCATATAATCAAATTTCTGTGTGTTTAGGTTATTTGTCAAGCTGGTATATTCCACGGTGGTAAATCGTTGTGCGAAGCTCAGAAAACCTGCGCAGCGCCAGTGTCCCCCGATGGTGTCGCCCAATGGGACCAAGAACTTATATTCCCCATTAAAGTCTACAATTTACCGAGAATGGCTCGACTCTGCTTCGGTATCTACGAAATTATTAAAGTCAAGAGCAAGAAACGCGGCAAGGAAGCTAGCAAGGCAAGTTAATTTTTTGAATAAAAATTATAAGTCTTAAGCTACATTTGTACGGTTTTGAACTTATGAACGATTTTTAATATTGTAATTATATTTATACCATACCATAATAAAAACCGGCCAAGTGCGAGTCGGATTCGCGCACCGAGGGTTCTGTACAAACCTGAATTTTCAAAAATATTTTTTAATATATGATGTAACTAAAAATTTACTGTTCGCATTTTATTCATTATCTGTACTATAAGACGTTACTTCGTACCAAATTTCAAGATTCTACGTTCACGGGAAGTACCCAGTAGGTTTTGATTCCCGTGCGAGTTTTGAAAATTTGCGGCATAAACGGCTGTATCTTTTGATTGCTTTGGCTTAGAAGTTTGTTTTTTTCACAGCTCCAAGGGACAGTAGACCTGAGTATTAGATATGAATTTCAGTTTGATACCTCCACGCGTTTCTGAGAAAAACGGTCTTGACAGACAGACGCACGGACGGACAATAAAGTGATCCTTTAAGGGTTCCGTTTTTTCCTTTTGAGGTACGGAACCCTAAAAACTATCAAAAAGTCAATATTTTTTAAATCTGCCAATATACTTATACCAATTTACTTTCCTTAGAAAAAAAATTAATAGAACATATAGTTTATGTTGCGTGTTGCTTAGACTTTTTTGATATGTATATACAATACATAACAGCCTGTCTCTCTCAAACATTATTTCTTTATTATGTGTGACAAAATGTCTTGAGTCGCCATGTTCTATTCGTAGCTGAAAATACGTAAAAGATTTTTCTGAGAACTCATCTTATTATAAATGAATAAAGTTCAAATTGTAATATTGAAAAAGTAAAAGGACAAAAAAAATATTGACCTTTAATCGTCAACAAATAAATCTTTTTTCTTTCTTAAACAAGATGGTTCTGCAAATTTAACAAGTTTTTTTTAATTTCTTTCGCCCCCTTTGTTATAGTCATAGTGTAATTAAACCTCGTAAGAATTCAAATCTTTTTTCGCAGCCTAATTCATATTTGTACTGATTTTTGTTATACTTGCCCGCGTCGTTTGCGTGCATTTTTCTAGCGCTTGGCTGTTTAAAGTATTGTTTAAAAATAATAATATAAACTTGTTAGATAAGTAATATAACTTGTTTTTTTCAAAAAGCACTTAATCAATTTTGAATAAAATAATATTGAACCATTA